AAACATAACCAATTCTCTTTAGAGAACAGAGCAATTCTATACAGTAAAGTATTCCCATCTCAGCATTTGGACTATTGAGTGGTTCTCAAACATATTTCCATTATGATACAGGAGGTGATGCCACAGTCACACGTGTAAAATACTCCCATCCCATGAATGTAGTAGATTTAGGTAATACTTAAAAATTGTCTAGAGGAAAATACATTAGTCTGAAACATTGTACAGCTGACCCTTGAACAACACAAGTTTGAACTAGTTTGAAAAGGTCCACTTAAATATGGATCTTTTTCAATAGTAAATATTACAGTGCTACACGCAGTGAGGCTGGTTGCATCCTTGGATGTGGGACTACGGACAGGAGGAGCCTCAGACGTGGGAACTACATATTTTGGAGGGCTTACTCTAAATTACAGGTGGATTTTCCACTGAAGGACAGTATCAGTATCCCTAAGCCTGTGATCTTTAAGGGTCAACTGTAATCCCACCATGAAGAGCAATGGCACAGTAAAAGTCATTCACAATTGCCTCGACCTAGATAAAATAAAACTGCTGTTCACCCAGCTCTGACCTTACTGCTTTCTCTCTCACATCAACTCTGGAAAATATATCAGAATGCAGGTTCTAATGGGAATGCATTATCAAGATAACAATCCACCAATTCTAATTTATTTTACAAATTACTCACTAACATTGATATTTTTACAGTTAACCAGCAACAACTTACATTACTGGCAGTATCCTATGCAACTGATCATGATAACTGGTTCATTTAGCTGAGAGCAAGCGTAGGAAAACTGCAGTCCATGGGCCAACCTGCTGCCTATTCTTGTATGGTCTGCAAGCTAAAATGGTTCTTACATTAAAATTTTTTTTTAATCTAAAGAAAAATATGGGTGACATGTAAAAGATATATAAAATTTGAATTTGTGTCAGTGAAGTTTTACTGGAACACTGCCATGCTCACTGGTTTATGTATCGTCTGTGACAGAGCTGAACAGCTGAGAGACTTTAAAGCCTAAAATATTTATCATCTGGACCTTTACAGAAAAACTTTGCTGACCCTCAGGCCAGAACTAAGAATGACAGCCTCTGTGGTAATAGCTCTTAAGCACAAAATCCTGAATATAGACTGTAAACTTAATTACAGAAATAGTAGTAAAAAAAACTCTGTGGGATGCAATCTATCCCTGAGTTGTCCAAACTGTCCAATTTCCTTAAGGACAGAAGCCAACTAAAGATAATTAAATATGGCCCCTGCATTTTGTCTGAAATCATGTTGGCAAATTCATCTTTGAGACTACAGTGAAGCAAAAAAAGGGCACTAGGCTCTAAGTTGGAAGACCCGGGTTTTAGGTAAGTCACTTTTAAGACAAATACATTCTAATCTTTTCCAATCTGTGTATTATTTTTAAATAATATAAAAAGCACTAAAATGGCAAAATAATCAAAATGTTTTATTTTTTCTTTTTCAAAATATTTTAAGGAAAGAAAAAGAAAGTAAAACATACCCCTTTCCCTAAATCTAACTATAAAAAGTCCTCCTATTCATTGTAAATTGCTTAATGGGGGAAAAAAGTGAAAGTGAAGTCGCTCAGTCGTGTCGACTCTTAGCGACCCCTTGGACTGCAGCCTACCAGGCTCCTCCATCCATGGGATTTTCCAGGCAAGAGTACTGGAGTGGGGTGCCATTGCCTTCTCCAGGAGATCTTCCTAACCCAGGGGAAGAAAGCACTTGGCTAATTTGGGTGTGGAGAGTGGGTGTGCATGTGCCTTTTTAAAGTAAGTGTACTGGATAAAATGGTGTCTCAAGTCCTTGCCAACACTGGTACATGTTCAGTCGTTTCAGTCGTGTCTGACTCTTTGCAACCTTATGGACTATAGCCCTCCAGGCCCCTCTGTCCGTGGGGATTCTCCGGGCAAGAATACTGGAGTGGGCTGCCATGCCCTCCTCCAGGGCATCTTCCTTAACCCAGGGACTGAACCTGCCTTTCTCATGTCTTCAGCACTGGTTGGCAGGTTCTTTACCACTAGCGCCACCTTGGAAGCCAACACTGGTAATTCATGCCCAGCCTCAGGTTTTTCATCTGTAAAATTGGACTAATAATAGAATCTACTTCCTCTGGTTGTTGTGAGGATTAAATGAGTTAATCCATGTAATGTGCTTAGAACAGCACTAAATAAATTTAGCAAATATTATTATTCTACCTGGGCATTTACAAAAATACACTGGTTGGGTATCTCCCCTGTAACAAGTACAATGTTAGAAAAAGGACCACAGAGATAAAATAGAAGTTGATTCTCCTATACTACGTAAGAATTAATGAAATTTGAGTCTACAGAATTTTAACTTTAGTATGTCCATAAATTAATGATTCTCTGAGATGATGGTGAAATTCGGTTTTGCATTCCTGGTCTATAAATTCTCATTTCTGAACAGTGATTATTGTTAAAAATGTCAAACTCTGTTTTACAGGGCAAAACAGCATTGTTACAAAAGATCTTTCTATTTATGTTTCAAAAGACAAAAGCTCAGTGTTTGCTAAGAGAATGACCACAGGAAGAACATAAAAATGTTGGCCAGTCTGGCAATATGTGTGAAATACAAGCTGTGTGAACCAAACTTGCCACAAAGTAGTTTCATTTATGTATTCATTCAACAAATGTTTGCTGAGTACCTACTATGTAGGAGTGTCTGCTACAATGATGAATAACAAGCTATAGTCCCTCCATTAGGGAGTTAGCAGGGAGGACAAGCCAGCAATTACAGGAAAGTGTGATGAGTAAAATGATGGGGAAGCTGAGTGTGCGATGAGAGCATTTGGCAGGGGCCTGAACCCACTTAGTCCAGGGGATTGGAGGAAGAAACACTTATGCTTTGACCTGAAAGATGCATAGGAGTTCAGCACGCCTAGGCAGTGGAGAATGTCTGGGCACAGGGAATGTCAAGAGAAGCGAGAAATTGGGTCTGAAGAACTGAGAGCAATTCAGTCTTGCTGGGACCCAGCAAGGTGAGGGGTGGTGACAAAAGATGGCAGTGCAGGTAATCAGAGTGGTTCTCATTTTACACTAATGGAAATGAGAGATCGTTGAAAGTTCAAAGCACAAATATGCAAGACTGGTAATCCAAGGAAAAACAATTCATGAAACAATTAGCCTGACTTGAAAGTAAGCAGAGGGAAAATCCCTTAATTTATTCTTTCCCTGCCTGCTACAGAGACTAGCTTGAGTCTCGATTCAGTTTTAACCTATTTATAGAGGAACTATTATACACGAGGGGGTGAAATATAAAAATATTTGCTTTCTTATTTACAATGTGGGTGTTGCACATTCAGTGTCCTCACGGCTACACAACCACTACACAACCACCTTAGAAGGTGACATACAGGCCACCCTCAGCCAGGGCTGGTGGGCTTCGTAATGAGGCCACTGCAGTCAGGTGGAGCCTGGGACTTGAGTCAGATGACTTGAGTTTGAAGCCACTGTTCAACGACACTGGACCTCTCTCCATCTGCAATGAGGATCATTTCTCCTGCATCCCTTGGATGCACTTGGTAAACTGTGCAAAGTCACAGAACTGGGATGCTTTCCTCATTTCTGTTCAGTTCCAGAAGCATGTGAAAGCCTTTTCCACAGGGGAAGTGGCCTTTCACCTCCGACATGGATTCCAAGGATGGCATTAGAAATCACAGTCTCCAGTGCTGTTTAATCACAAACCCCACAAAGTTGGAGACAGCTTTAAAGCAATGGGGTGGGGTGTGGCAGGGAGCCAGAAGACTCCAGAACTCTACAATGGGAATGCCTCAGCAGCATACACCCATAGAGGCTTTCCCTCTAAACGGGCTGTTAACTCAGACAGCTGGAGTAAAGCAACATTTGGGTTCCTTTGAAAAAAGAAAGTGCATTAAGTCAAGACATTAGTATAAATTATGCTGACGGCTAACCCAATTTACAAGTCTGAACATGTGAATGGATACTCTAAGTAAATTCACTTGATGGGGCATTTTCTAATTTTAAAAATGTCATCTTTAAAAGGTTTCTACTCCAAATTTCCACAATCTCCAAAAATGTTAATTTATTATCAAAATGCCTTGAATATTTAAGATGATTTGTCTATTATAATACATTTAATTGTACTCAACATATGTTGATTCTGACAACAAAATTAGCTGTAACCACAAATGAATACCTTAATTTATTAAATATACTGGTAGTAGAGTCCAAATTCTAACTTCTAAGAATGCCCATATTTTTTATCATTAATATAATTTTACATCTTCAGGAATAGTCACAGTTTTGTTTCTAACCTTTCCAAGCAGCAATAAAAAATGTGTTCCCTTAGCTACTTACTAGTTGAGAAGATATCTCAAATAAATCTGAACCATTTTCATATCACTGTTACCTCCATCATTCTCCTCATGAGCTGTGTAAACATCTAAAGACCTTCATGCTCCGTGGAAATTTGAAAGTTCTTCTGTCTAGAAGGCTGACTGTGAATTGGGCCATCCAGTGAAGTTCTCTTTAGTATGACTCCAGATAACTCTCTTGAACTGTAGTTGGAAGAGTGAAGGTTGTTTAGAGACACAGTTTCTAAGCCTGGCTTTCTCTGCTTTGCTATGTGTTATCCGACTGCGAGCAGCCAAGGCTACATGGCACAAGAATCATAAAAAGAGTGTCTTCTTGGGTCTCAAATTCCAATCAGTGTAATGATAGCAATAATCATTTTCGTCAAGCCAACTCAGACATGTTGTAAAGCTCAAGTAAGAAAACATATTTGAAAATGAGTGCTTAGAAAAGTTTCAAGTACTTTCTAAAAGTGTGGGTCATTATTAAACAACACTCTTCAATTAGAAAAGAAGCTTGCTCTTTTTCCCAAAAAGCTGAATCATCTGTGTCTTGTTGTTGTTTTTTTACATAATAGAAGCTAAAATAATACTGAATATTTTTTTAAAATATACTAAAGGCTTTCTAATGCATTGACTCTGTTGGCTCTGCCACTGTGATTAAGGGGTTCCCATCAATAAGTAGAAGGTCAGGGCAACAATTAGAAGCAGACAGAACGGAGAGGAGAAGGTCTGATAGGCAGCCGATGGCATAAAAATGTCCTCGTACTTGTAAATACTGACAACACGCTCTGAAGTCGGTGGTGAGTCTATATCATGTCGGGTGATAGAGCCTTTGAGAAGAAAGAAAGAAAAAGGAAGCAGCAAGAGAAAAAAGGTACAGATTTAAAATGATACATGCAAACCACAGAAAAATGAGACAAATCTTAAAAGAGCTGCTATTTTTTAAAAAAATATTTTTAATATTAATATATGGATCACTAACAACTCCTGAACGATACCCTTGCAGATGGAAGTCTATCGGATGTAAAGTGGTAGCCTGCCCAGGCCAGATCAGAGAGGATGTGCTGTGTGTCTATAAGTCTGCATGTCTGTCTGGCGGAGTGGAATGGAGTGGTACGAAAGTAGGAGACTTAAGATATCAAACAAGTCTTTGGACGGAAAGCATTTTTTGAGCTGGCTAGAAGAGGAAAAAGGGAAAGGCTATATGTAAAAGCTGTTTCATAAGCTAAAATTGATGGGAAGGGCCTGACCTTTTGATTAACCAATATGAAACTCGGGTGAGGGAGACATGCCTATGAGTTCAGAGCAAAGATCTCCTTGGAAAACGGGCCTCAAAGGCAGGGTTTTGAAGGTACTGTCTGCCAGGGAAGCTGTGCCATACCAGACATGCCCAGCCCCTACCCCAGTGTCCATGCTGGCTCTCGTTAACACAAACCAAACTCCTCAGGCTGGCAAGAGTTTTTGTCTCAACGGGTCCCACTCTCCTCTCATCCCTAACCTCGCTCACTGGTCACCTTTGTGAATTCCCAGGCTTAACCGTGTACCTCCAATTCATGCCCTTCTTGAGAGACATCTAATCCCATACCCTCCCTTCAAGGCTTGGCTCACAGTTTATCCTCTTTGAGAGACCTTAAGAGGATGAATAGGGTTTGATCACCAGAGAGGCATTAGAATAGTGTTCACGAGACAGGAAAAGCACAAGCCTGTCTGTAAGGTAGGCGTGCATCCGTGTTGTTTGGAGATATTGAGAACAATGACAGGACGCTGAGAGTGCTTATCAGGCAAAGTCTCCAGTGTTGGGGAGGGCTTGGAATACTGGGCCATGATGCCATATGTGTAAGAAGATGACCTTCTGAGGTACAGCACTTGCCAGCAATTTCAAATACTTGTTTTCATTTAACCCTTACAATAATGCTATGAAATCAATATCATTATTATCCTCATTTTAGAGAAAAAGAAATTAGAACTCAGAATTTAGATAAAGGCTAGATACAGCTACCAAGGGGCAGAATCAACACTCAAACTCAGCGTTTTAGATCCCAAACCCCATCATTTAAAATGAGTTCATTTCTCCAGCCTAAGACATAGTTTATTTCCCAGTGTACTAAGAGTAATCAAAAATATAATTGCAGATTCATTGTCAGTAACCTGGGAAATAAGCAAATGGAAACGGGGTCACAAATCTGAAGGCATCCAGATGTTTTCCCAACTAGAAACAGGCAAAGAAAGCCATGAAATTTCCAATCAATCAATGGCAACAATTTGAAGGAAAGAAAAAGATCATATTAGGCAATGGATGGAAAAAAAAAAGTGAAAGTATCAGTCACTCAGTCGTAGCCAACTCTTTGTGACCCCATGAAATATAGTCCACCAGGCTCCTCTGTCCATGGAATTTTCTAGGCAAGAATACTGGGGTAGGTAGCCATTTCCTTCTCCAGGGGATCTTCCCGACGCAGGGATCGAACACAAGTCTCTTGAGTCTCCTGCATTGGCAAGTGGATTATTTACCACTAGTGCCACATGGGAATCCCCCAAGCAGATTCCTTAAGCTCTCTAAAATGAGGATGATAATTCCTACAGTTCTCGCCATGGTGAGAAGTAAATGAGACCATTGTGAGAAATAGAGTCCATACTCCATACACAGCAGACACACGATCTGTTTCATCAAGCCATAGCTCGTCATAGATTATCTTGTATTTAACTATGTTAATTTAACATAACAACTAAGTTAACCTGTAAATTAACTATTAACCTTCTTGCTTTAACTATACATGTGTACAGCTTGTCCCATTCTGTGTTCATGTGTATAGTAAGTCCATTACTATATTCTGAAGGCAGGATCCTGTCTCCTTTTTCTATGTTATACAAAGTGCTCATCACTTTCTTGGAAATAATGACTCCCAGTCAATAATGACTCAAGCACAGCAATGTCTGGTGTTTAATCCAGATGCCAAAATGTAAGCTTACCCTGAATGGCTGGACCCCAAGCAAACAGGTAATACCAACTCAGATGCAGATCGACAATCGTTTCATCTCTGGGAACGTTTACAGGCCGTTTAAATCTGCAGGTGACCCGATTGTTCTCAAAAACTCCTTCTTCATCTCTGGCAGGGTTTCTCTGAATCTCCTTTGCCCACTGGCCTACATTATAGAAGTGCTGTATGCGGACCCTCCCATTGTCGTCGTGGACACAGGCCATGACATCGTCACCACCCTGACACAAAAGACGATGGAGCAAAAAAGTTAAAGGTGCATCTTAGGCAAACTCTTCAGCCAGAGGGAAATTTCACTCCAAAATATACGTTCCATGACCTCTGTAACTGGAAGTCCCAACCCCAAAATTGTTTTAAATGCCATTAAAAAGCTTTAACCAAGTGACCAGAGTTTGCACCACCACACCTGACATTGAGCGTCTCCTCATGTGCCACTTAGGGAGGATCACCAGCTCTCTAGCAGTCCTGCCGAAAACACAGATACTTAACCTAATCATGAGCAAACAAATCCAAATTGAAGGTCATTCCACCCAAAAAAGTGGCCTGTAACCTTCAAAAGGGTCAATACCATGAAAGACTAAAAAAGAAAATGCTAAAAAACTGTTTCAAAATCAAGAAGAAGACTAAAGATATTGTCATGTCAACACATGACAACTAATGGTGTTCCTAGACAGATCCCTGACTCATAAAATAAAATTTTCTATACAGCATAGTATTGGGGCAAAGGGCAACTTTTGATAGTAGACAGTGTATCTGATAAACCTACTGTATCTATGTTAAATTTCCTGAATTTAATAAATTATATAATGAAAAAGAATATCTTTGATCTTAGGAGATACCCGCTTAAATATTTAGGGATAAAGGGTCATGATACCTTCAATCTAACCTCTCAAGTTTGTAGAAAATAATAAAAATGTAAGTAGTAGAAGTCAGAGCGGTGGCAGCAGTTGCAGCAGCAACAGAGAGAGATAAAGCATGTACGGCAAACGTTACTGCTTGTGAAAACGTTCTGGAACCAGATGGTGGTGGTTCCACACCATGAATGTAGTTGATGCCACTAAACTGTATACTTGAAAATGGTTAAAATAGTAAGTTTTAGGTTGTATATGCTTTACCACAATAAAAAGTTATGATTTGGGGAAACATATATATAGGAGTTTATTAGACGACTCATTGGAAAAGACCCTGATGCTGGGAAAGATTGAGGGCAGGAGGAGAAGGGGATGACAGAGAATGATATGGTTGGATGGCATCACCGACTCAATGGACATGAGTTTGAGCAAACTCTGGGAGATAGCGAAGGACAGGGAAGCCTGGCATGCTGCAGTCCATAGTGTCCCAAAGAGTCGGACACAACTTAGCAGCTGAACAACAGGTGAGACATGTATATATATAGGAGTTTATGGTCCTATTGCCAGCATCTGTTGGATCATAGAAAAAGCAAGAGAATTCCAGAAAAGCATGTACTTTTGCTTCATTGACTATGCTAAAGTCTTTGTGTGGATCACAAAAAACTGTGGAAAATTCTTCAAGAGATGGGAATACCAGACCACATTACCTGCCTCCTGAGAAATCTGTATGTAGGTCAAGAAGCAATAACTAGAATTGGACATGGAAGAATGAACTGGTTCAAAATTGGGAAAGGAGTATGTCAAAACTGTATATTGTTACCCTTCTTATTTAACTTATATGTAGAATACATTATGCAAAATGCTGGGTTGGATAAAGCTCAAGCTGGAATCAAGATTTCCAGGAGAAATATCTGTAACCTCAGATATGCAGATGACACCATCCTTACGGCAGAAAGCGAAGAGGAACTAAAAAGCCTCTTGATGAAGGTGAAAGAGGAGAGTGAAAAAAACTGGCTTAAAACTAAACATTCAAAAAACGAAGATGGCAAATAGATGGGGAAAAAAATGGAAACAGTGACAGACTTTATTTTCCTAGGCTCTAAAATCACTGCAGATGGTGACTGCAGCCATGAAATTAAAAGACACCCCTTGGAAGAAAAGCTATGACACACCTAGACAGTGAATTAAAAAGCAGAGACATTAATTTGCCAACAAAGGTCCATCTAGTCAGAGCTATGGTTTTTCCAGTGGTCATGTACAGATGTCAGAGTTGGACCATAAAGAAGGTTGAGCACTGAAGAACTGATGTTTTCAAACTGTGGTGCCAGAGAAGACTCTTGAGAGTCCCTTGGACAGGAAAGAGATCAAGCCAGTCCATCCTAAAGGAAATCAGTCCTGAATATTCATTGGAAAGACTGAAGCTGAAGCTCCAATACTTCGGCCACCTGATGCGAAGAGCCGACTCGCTGGAAAAGACCCTGATGCTGGGAAAGATTGAAGGCAGGAGGAGAAGGGGGGCAACCGAGGCTGAGATGGTTGGATGGCATCACCGACACAATGGACATGAATTTGAGCAAACTCCAGGAGGTCGCAAAGGACAGGGAAGACTGGCGTGCGGCAGTCCACAGGGTCACAAAGAGTCGGACACGACTGAGTGACTGGACAACAACGACAACGGTCCTCCTCCTGCAACTTGTCTATCAGATTAACGTTAAAAAAAAAAAGTTCAAGGTGTTTATCAGCTATAAGAAATGTACCCCTCTGTGGAGAATACTGATAATGGGAGAGGCTCTGCGTATGTGGGGACAGGGTATATGGGAATTTCCTGTACTCTCTTCAATTTTGCTGTGAACCTAAACCTCTCTAAAGAATAAAATCTAATAAAGAAATCAGCAATGCATTATTTCCACACAAAAAAAGTCAATGACTATTACAAAGAGGTTCCATGTTGCTTTTCCCATGCATCAGGTTTTGAAAATTTTTAAATCTGTGCTTCTTAGAGTAATAGGAAGAGAAAAAAAACCCTAGATTTTAAAGGCCTTTAGATAGCAAAATATCAAACATGAAATGTGGAAGCTTCTTACTCAACCTCCTTCCTCTGAGCCCCCTAATTTGCACCATGGATGCAAATCCATTCCTGGACAAGAAATGGTCAACTGCACTGCAAGCCAGCCTGTTGGATGGCACACAACCACTCTTTCTCCCATTGACCCTGAAGTAGGAGATAAGTGATGTAGACTAGTATCCATGCAGTCTTACCAGGTGGACCCATTGTTTTGCAGCCTCGAATGAGAAGCTCATTCTTCTAGCGACCTCTCCAAAAACAAACGCAATGGAATTTTGATTGCATAGCCTGATCCCTGAATCTCTTCTTATGACCCACCTATAACCCAGGTCCAATCCACTGGCAAAAGCCTGTCAGTATTACCTTCAAAACATATCTGAAACCTGGGCCCTGCCCACCACTCCTGCTGCCCTCATCTCATTCTAAGAGCCTCAAAACAGACCAGGTGAAGAGAAGCATCTTATACAAAAAGCAGCCGCACATGCAAAGGTTCGATGGCCTGAGAAAGTGTGGCTGTTTGGGAAGCACCTTGGTACAATGCATGGAAATGATGAAGCTCTGGAAGAAAGAGGGGAGAATGCGGCACAGGACAGAGAGAAGCAGAGGTAAGGAATGGACAGCAACCTGGGTTCCTGCCTGTTCCCGGCCACAGTCCTTTCTGAGGGCCAGATGCATTCTTGACAATGTATGGTGTGGAATGTTGAATTGCTGCACCCAATTCTTCACTCCCCTGTTGTCGTATTATATATCTACACCTTCTCAAGGCCTCTTGGTTGGGAAGGATACTTCTCTGCCCTTTCATTCTGGGCTAGGCTGGGTGGCTTACTCAGGGCAATGGAATATTATCAGCAGATGTGATGTGAACACTGGTTTGAAATAAGCTTGGATGACTTGCGCTTCTGCCTCTGCATGAAAAAAACATGCCTTGGGAGCCACTGGTTCCAGAATGATTAGACAATACTTGAATCCAACCCATGGACTGGAGCCAAAAGCAACTGAGTCCCAGCCAGTCCATACACATGTGAGCAACAAATCAATGCTGACTGTTATCAGCCATGTGGTTTGGTGGGGCTCTCTTGCAGCATGACTGTGCAATTAACTAATGAATACCGGTACCAGGAGATATCCTGTACTCTCATAACCAACCCTACCTTCTCTGTTTAAAATAACTTGAATTATTATTATTATTTTTTAACTTGTAATCGGAGAGCCATAACTAGTATAATCGCTTTCATGCTGTGATCAATTTACTTGCTTGGAAAAAGAAAATCAAATACCAGGACTTGGCTTCTCCCATTTAAAAGTGGCACGGGCGCTTAGGGAAACATCACCACGCTCATTCTCTAAAATCTAAAGTGGTACAGCAGACTGAAGAGAAAAATCACCTTCCACCACGATTTGTGTCTTACCATTTTCTTGTCTGAAGAGAATCCAACTGCTACCCAGCCATCGGTGTCTGCACTCAGCTCAAATTCCACATCAGCCCCTATCATCCGGTAGCTAAGAAAGTAGTCGCAGGTCTCTGCATTACAGCCGGGTTTGCCATATCTATAGGATATACCAAAACAGGTATTATTGCTTCCTCCTCTACGTAATCAAAATACATTAAGAGAGCATCTCTGTGTCAGGCAGGATGCTAAGCAATATGAATCAGATCTCTGCTACCTGGGATCCCAAAATCACAATTTCATTCAGGAGAGACTGCGAAGATAATCTACTCCTCTTTATCTATGTACAAATGAGGTCCAGAGACGAGTAGGGACTTGAGCTGTGGCATGGGCCTCAAGTCCTAGCCAGGGTTCTCTACATCTTATTAGAGTTTCTCAAATATTCGCTATTAACCAAATTATTTCTGACTCCTTTTAGAGAACAAAAAAGTCCTGAGTTAGTAATTTACATAATTTAGATTGCCATTTCTTTTCATTTACAAATTTTCGCTTAACAAAACTGGACAAACTGAATACAGATTAAACTACAAAACCTGGACCTTTTAAATTCATAGCATTCAGGGGATAAATGATGTGATTGGCTGAAACTGACTTCCTACTTACCCACCCATGGTATGTCTGATTTTACTCTGTGGGGTCTTTATTTTCAGTCTGCATCTTACTACTAGACACAACTCCATTGTCCTCCACTTTTATCTGTTAGAACTGCTCCAAAACCCTTATACATACAAGGCACCAAATGAATGCCTCATTTATTTATATTCACTGGATGTGAATGCATCATTTACTTAAAAAATTTGCCTTTGCTCTATCAAGCTGCTTGGGGCTAATACAATTCAGATACTAAAGTAAGATGTTTATCCAGATAATCAGATTATGCATTCGTTAATCCATTTAAGGAGCATCACTGAAATGAAAGCATGAATTTAAATTTTCTTACAGAGAACTTGTGGATCCTTTGAGGGTCAGCAAGCCCTAGTTTTAGGAATACTGCCTTTCAGAAATGACTGAAAACTACAGCAATGGGTGGGATAATCTAAGCTCAGATAAAAGGTATCTAAAGGTACAGGATGCAAGGCTGCTAAGTTCTGATGGAGGAGGGAGACAGGGAACATGCAGCTTTGCAGGCAGATACCCTGGGCAGCTGGCAAGGGGTGTAAGCTCAAGACCACAGGAACTGGAGTGAAAAAGCTGAAAGGGGTGAGCAAAGCTAAGTGAGTGGGCCAGAAAGCAAGTCTCCCTGAAGCCAGCAGGGCACTAAAACTCCTTTTCTTCTCAAAAATATCCCCTAATCACTATAATTATTCATTGCTGGCTATCTTCCTCAATAATAATAGTATCACTAGATTTTAAAAAATTCCTTCAAAATACTCCTGCAATCCAAAAACTCAAACCCCCTATATTCAGTTTTTAGTCCTTGGACTTTGAGTCCCAAACCAAAAAAAAAGAAACCACATTCATTGTAATGGCCATCAAAATCTTTACTCAAGGACAATTTGTTTTTGGAAATAAAGGACTCAAAGAAAAGGAGGCTTTACCAACAAAGCAGAGCTGTCTAGACGGAAGGCCGCTGTCTACAATGCTGTTTTCTAGCTCCAGTCTATCACATCTAGATAGAATACTACTAATAATCAGGCACTAGATCTGAAATAACTAGCTGGACACTATAATCAGTGCATACTGACTAGCTAGGACCATATAGCTATCCACAGTCATGACCATTGTTTTAAAAAGGAACGGGGTCTTAGACATATCTGATGGGTTGGCCCAGATGTTCGTTTGGGTGGTTTTTCCATAAGATGCTATGGAAAACCCAAATGAACATTTGGGCCAACCCGATATTATTGCCTGTCCTGCCCACACCCGTGCTGAATGAGCACAGACAAATTCTGTGTCATATAATTCTTCTTCATACAGCCAACTGGCTAGACCCCCGAGTCAGTGGCATACAGTCATAAATGAAGAACCAGAGAAGTAAGTTCCAGGGCCAAGGGGCGTGAGACAGCTCAAGGCCTTTAAGACTGCGACCTGGGCTGGCCTTTGGAAACAGGTTACATCCGTGCTGAAGTTATGAGGGGTGTGGGCCCCTGGTGAGAGTGAACTGCATGCAATTTAAATACTACCTTGAGAAGCAAATCAAAGTCTTAGCTTTAAAGTTCTCCAACTCACAGATCTACCAACCTAAAGCAGCCCTTAGTCTTTCCACAGTCATCCACTTTGATTTTGGCAAATGGATCCACAGGAGGAGCAGTTGGGAAAGGGTAACCTGGCCAGTGAGAATAAATAATGGTTAGAAAATCCAGGACAGCGTTTTCAATGAGAAATGCTACTTTTTAGTAGGTTGACTATTCTCTATCGCACGAGTCTAGAAACGGTCAAGGCCTCAGAAAAGAGCTCAGTTGATGCCTAATCACCCTGTTCATGAGGGCAGGTGTGGGGCACACATCTTTAAACCCAGCCTACATGTTAACTGAGAAAGAGCTTTCTCCTCATTTATAGGCAGGGTGCCTGGGGGCACTGAAAGAGGACATAATATCATAACCACTGGCTCACCACTGTCCATCGGAAGCATGAAAATAGAATTTTATACAATACATTTGCTCTAAGAGAAAGAATGAACAATTCTCTATTCGATAGCAGAGCCTTTCCATTTATAGCTATATATTACAATAGGATCTCTCCGTTTCTGTGAACTTGTTTTTCATCAAGCTGTAGAGAACATTTTCATATCTCATATAAATCTGTTAATCACATCATTTCATGCATCCCTCTTGCAAGATGACTTAACATCATAATGCATTCAACCACACATGGAAGGAGAGCCTCCACTGCGCTTCCAGTTTGTGACCACAAATATTTTTATTCTAGGCTGTTCACGCCACTTACACAGGAATTGTGTGTGATTCATCTGGTATTCTCTACCCAGCACAGTGCTTGACACTGGACATTGAAATGATTATGCAATGAATAAATTAAATCACCCATAGATATTAGGCAATGCAAATCACTTTTTTTTTTGCAAATCACTTTTAAAAAACTGCTGTTAGTTTTTCTTTTCTCACTATTCTGAAGTCTTTTGTGGTTTGTAATGCTTTTTTAAATGAGGTTTTGTTTACTTTGCTTCATTAAATTATACTTAAAATCCAACAGGTCACACTTGCCTGGTTTATATCTGTGCATTTTCTGTTCCTCTCTACTACCTGAGATCTCTTTTAATTGGAAGATAAGTGCTTTACAAAGTTGTGTTGGTTTCTGTTGTTCAACATGAATTAGCTATAAGCATACATACATTCCCGCACTGTTTAGTCTCCCTCCCACCCCTCCTCCACCCTACCCCTCTAGGTCAACTACCCTACATTGATCACATGCTAAAGTACAACCCTACATTTTCACCATCCTTAAGTACTTGGGCAAAATGCATTACTTTTTCTACTTTCATGCTTATTTTATGCCAAGTCCTACGTCCAGTTCAGTAGTACAGAGCTCTGCCTTGGATGAGTTTTTATCTTGATATTTATTGAGTTCAATGCTACAACTATGTCAAGTATCTTCCTATACGTTCTTCCTTTTAGCTTTCACTACAATGCCGTGGCCATTTTTTTCTCAGGATATTTATCCAGGAATGCAAAGACTATTTATGTTTAAGATTCTAGAGGTGTCTGAAAGAGACAATCCCATGTAATGTTGTTTCTGACTAAGGTTCCCCATCTTCTTCCATTATACTTTCTAGAATAATTCATCAGCATACAGCAGGTTTCCAGCTCAATAAATGCCAGTCATTATTATCCTTGGTTTATTATTACTATTACATTTTAAAACCATTGGGTAAGATCATCTCTAGAAGAATGGGTTTCTAAGCTCCAAGTAAGAGCAAGTTTTAGAACAAAGGTCATTTATAAATGTACTGAACTAGCTTATTTAGTGTTGGCAAATGGCTCGTTTCTCAGGTTTTTTTCTAGCACTGATTCCCTTTTATCTTATATGCTTCTAAATCTTGGAATGAGAACTTATGTTGTCAAATGAATTTCGGCATCATTTAATGATGTCACGTTTCTCTCTTTAAAAGTTATTTAGTTTTGGCTGCAGTGGGTCTTTGCTGCTGTGTGTGGGCTTTCTCCAGCTGCAGCAAACGGGGGCTACTCTCCAGCTGCGGCGCATGGACTTCATTTGTGGTGGCTTCTGTCGCAGAGCACAGGCACTAGAGCACGTGCGTTTCAGTAGCTGCAGCACGCTGACTCAGCAGTGGTGGTGTGTGGGCTTAGGTATCCTTTGGCATGTGGAATCTTCCCAGACCAGTAATAGAACCCACGTCCCCTGCGTTGACAGGTGGATTCTGAGCCACTGGACCACCAAGGAAGTCCTGTAAGATGCTGTCTAATAAAGAATTTGATGGGTTTTTGTCCCAGGTTCTTGGGAGGGAGGAATACTCCAAATCCTTGGAATTTCCCAGTGGGTCTTTGTTATTCGTGAGCCCCTTGGGATCACACCTGCATTTATGACTCAGGATGGGCGCTGGTCAGTAGGAAGACCAAACACATGGTTACAGGTTTGGGGCTTTGAGCCAGCCCCACCTGGGACACGGGGGAGGGGAGTGTATGACTGCTGGAGACTGAGCTCAATAATGTAGCTAATGATTAAATCAGTCATGCCTAGGTGATGAAACCCCAACAGAAACTTTGAATCCTGAAGCTGAATGCAGCTTCCTGGTTGGTGAACACACTGAAGTGCCAGGAGGGTGACACGTCCTGATTCCATGGAGAGGAATACTTCCTTCCAGGACAGGACAAGAAAACTGCATTTGTGGGCCCCGAGACTCTGACCTGTGTGCATCTTCATTGGCTGTTCCTGAGTGTTCTTGAGTTCCTTGATACTAAAACTACAATTGTATGCATAGCCCATTTCTGAATCCTCTGAGATATTCTAGTGAATTACAGAGCATGAGGGGGATTGTGGGTGGCCCTAAGAAGAGGTGGCAAGAATACACAGAAGAACTGTACAAAAAAGATCTTCATGACCAAGATAATCGTGATGGTGTTATCACTCACTTAGATCCAGACATCCTGGAATGTGAAGTCAAGTGGGCCTTAAGAAGCATCACTACGAACAAAACTGGTGGAGGTGATGGAATTCCAGTTGAGCTATTTCAAATCCTAAAAGATGACGCTGTGAAAGTGCTGCACTCAATATGTCAGCAAATATGGAAAACTCAGCAGTGACCACAGGACTGGAAAAGGTCAGTTTTCATTCCAATCCCAAAGAAAGGCAATGCCAAAGAATGCTCAAACTACCACACAATTGCACTCATCTCACACGCTAGTAAAGTAATGCTCAAAATTCCTTACCAGGCTTCAGCAATATGTGAACCGAGAACTTCCAGATGTTCAAGCTGGTTTTAGAAAAGGCAGAGGAACCAGAGATCAAATTGCCAACGTCCGCTAGATTGTAGAAAAAGCAAGAGAGTTCCAGAAAAACATCTATTTCTGCTTTATTGACTATGCCAAAGCCTTTGACTCTGTGGATCACAATAAACTGTGGAAAATTCTGAAAGAGATGGGAATCCCAGACCACCTGACCTGCCTCTTGAGAAATCTGTATGCAGGTCAGGAAGCAACAGTTAGAACTGGACATGGAACAACAGACTGGTTCTAAATAGGACAAGAAGTGTGTCAAGGCTGTATACTGTCACTCTGCTTATTTAACTTATATGCAGAGTACATCATGAGAAATGCTGGGCTGGAGTAAGCACAAGCTGGAATCAAGATTGCCAGGAGAAATATCAATAACCTCAGATATGCAGATGACACCACCCTTATGGTAGAAATTGAAGAAGAACTAAAGAGCCTCTTGATGAAAGTGAAAGAGGAGAGTGAAAAAGTTGGCTTAAAGCTCAACATTCAGAAAACTAAGATCATGACATCTGGTCCCATCACTTCATGGCAGAAAGATGGGGAAACAGTGGAAACAGTGGCTGATTTTATTTTTCTGGCCTCCAAAATCACTGCAGATGGTGACTGCAGCCATGAAATTAAAAGATGCTTACTCCTTGGAAGGAAAGTTATGACCAACCCAAACAGCATATTAAAAAGCAGAGACATTACTTTGTCAACAAAGGTCCATCTAGTCAAGGCTATGGTTTTTCCAGTAGTCATGTGTGGATGTGAGAGTTGGACTATAAAGAAAGCTGAGCACTGAAGAATTGATGCTTCTGAACTGTGGTGTTGGCGAAGACTCTTGAGAGTCCCTTGGACTGCAAGGAGATCCAACCAGTCCATCCTAAAGGAGATCAGTCCTGGATGTTCACTGGAAGGACTGATGTTGAATCTGAAACTCCAATCCTTTGGCCACCTGATGCGAAGAGCTGACTCACTGGAAAAGACCCTGATGCTGGGAAAGATTGAGGGCAGGAGGAGAAGGGGACGACAGAGGATGAGAATGCTGGATGGTATCGTCGACTCGTTGGACATAGGTTTGGGTGGACTCCAGGAGTTGGTGATGGACAGGGAGGCCTGACATGCTGCGGTTCATGGGGTCGCAAAGAGTGGACACAACTGAGCGACTGAACTGACTGACTGACTTGGATTGGTAGCCAGCTGGTCTGAAGGGAGGACAGTCTTGTTGTGGACCATGCCCTTTAACCTGTTGGGGTCATGAGTGCCAGAACTGAATTTCAAGACCGCAACTGAGTTTGGTATCAGAAGATAAGCAGAGCAATATTTTAGTTTTTTCCTGAAATTAAATGATCTCCCTATTTGGGATAAAGTATGTTGGTACCACATGGCAATATTTAAGCTCCTGTTTCTCAGCTACAGCCCAGCCTATACAGTCAGCTCCAGGATGGGCTAGGACTCTGCAAACCACATTTCTCCTCTGCCAGCTGGCTAGTTTCTGCCACAAGGAAACATGAGAGGGAGGCTGGGAGGCAGGAGGACCTGCCAAAATCAGACCATTTATTCCTATTTGACTGCTGTCCAGTCAGCAAGTCCTCCGCAACTCCACTTCATCCTTGCAGTGGCAACTGGTTTGAGTTTCCAGCCTTTTTTTCTTTTTCTTTTCTAGCTGTTTTCTAGACTCCCAGAACCAGCCTCATCAAAGGAACCAGGATTAGCTAGGCAGATAGCCCACTCTCAGAGGATGGGTGAACCTCTGGGTTGAGGTCCCTTGTCTGAGATCCCAGGTTCTCAAAACCTCCAGCCCTTTTCTCTGCTCCCTCAGCCCCAGGGCTGGAAGCTGCTTCCCACAGTGACTTTCTCTGAGCTCCCTTTTTGC